TGACAAAGGGTTCCAATCATTGGTGAAGCGCGCGCACGATCCACACGTAGTCGTTCGCAAAGGAGTTGCTGAGGCAGGACTGATTTGTCACAGACATCCTGAGAGAGTTTTGCACAGGCGGTCAGCAGAAGCGTTCTGAGGTTTTTGCTTATGATATCTTATGACACGTCAAGGCCATCGCATTTTTGCTGTCTTCCCGCGAGCCATCGCCGGAACCGACCTTCATGGAGAAGGAGGCCGAATCGCAAGTCGGGTGTTTCATGTTGTTTCCGGAAATGCAAAGAGTATAGCTCACGCTTCTTCAAGGAAGCTCCCCGCCCGCTCGCACTATTCATTTGGTTCCTAGACCTAGATTTTTAGGCAAGGGCCTTCAAGAGCCTTTTCCTACAGTTGAACAGATCCAGATGAAAGTCTTATTGATCAGTCAGTCAATTGAACTTCCACTGGAGAGGAGAGATTATGCTTGTTTAATATGTGCGGCTAGCAATTCCACAACAGCAAGTTGCAAGGGTTTGCCTTTTGCATTTCTTTGGTTTGATATGGATTTTGGGGAATTATCCACTGATTACTGCTTCATTGCAAACATATCACGAAAGCTAGCTAGCTGGAGTTACTCTTGCGATAGCAAGGTTTCTTTCGACCGGGTGCAAATCCTAACCCCTGATTTTTCAGGTCGAAGACACCCCCCCCCCCTCCCCACCTTCCCTCTCCCCACCTCCCCTCTCCTCCTCCTTGTCTTCCTCCCACCTTCCCTCCCTCCCTCCCTCCTCCCTCTTCGTCGCAAGTTCGACTCCGTCCTGTCGTCGCTCTTTGGCATGCGGTTAGCGTTGCGTATCTTGCGGCCGCACTCGCTCACTCTCACTGTCTCACTGTCTCACTGTCTCACTGTCTCACTGTCTCTCTCATCTCTCTCATCTCTCTCATCTCTCTCATCTCTTTCTCATCTCTCTCATCTCTCTCTCCTCTCTCTCTCTCTCTCCTCTCTGTCTCTCGTCTTTCCGTCTCTCTTCTCTCTCTTCTCTCGCAGGAGGATCCGGGCAAAGAGCCACATATAAAGGACTCTTCACCCCTGCCTCCAAAAAGAGCGCTGTGTTTTTTCCTACCTCGCTGCCCTCCACTTTCCCATTCTGGAGCGCTAGCTTTCGCCCCCCCCTTGGCCTCAAGTGGACGACAAAGCTTTGCCGGATAATAGTTTCCCTTCAACTCCTGATTTACGAGCGGGACAAATCGTGGTAAATCTTGATTACTGTAATCCTTCTTCTGCCACCCTCACAACAGCCCTGCTGTACAGATGAGTGAGTTGCGGTCTGGCTTGGACTCAATTGCTTATAGTAAATTGAGGGACAGAAAGCTTTGATATGCTTTGATGATCTATTTATATAACATGTTTCTTCTGTTGCTGCGCTACTGCAATTGAGAATGCCAAGGCCATGCAAACGTTAGCCCAGCAGCTTACTGACCCGAGCGATGTGGTGCGATTGCAGGCTGCAGAGGCACCGGTTACACTGAGTGGGCGATTGGATGGAGTGAAATCTTCAGGCTTCAGGTGTATAAAGATATAAAGGTTACGAACGGGACATAATATATATATATACATATATAAATAAACATCACTGCAAATAATGAATGCATGGGTTTACTTTCCTGATTGACTTGCATACATTCCTTTGCAGAGTTGGTTTCCCTATACCATTGTTTGCATGCTTAAGATGGGATCCTTTTTCCCATTATATATTAGAATCATATCATATCATGATGCCACCAATGTTGTGCGAAGAGTCTGCCCAAAGGCAGGAATCTTTTGATTGAAACTGCTAACATATTGAACACGAGACTCAGGGATGGTCACATGCAGTCCTCCAGGACTCTGAGTCACAAAGAGTGCCCGAAAGTTCTTCTTTGCATGAAAACGTGTACTTTGTGCAGTGTTGCTGTAGGCATATGCAGCCTGCTTGCCTTTTTCTGCATTGCGTTTCAGGCCTTTCGCCGGATTGGTTTGCCCCTGGCTGAAGCACATGCGGCAGACCTTGCAAGCCGCCTGAAGGACGTTCCTGAAAGAATCAGACACACTCTGAGCGACTTGCTTTGACTTTATTTTTAACTCTTGGGTCACTTGGGTTTCCCTTTGAGCAACTATCAATCTCTTTTTGCCCTTTGTAATTTAAATTGCTGGCCTTGCGCCAACACACAAGTACTGTACGGTATGTCGGTGTTTGCCTCGGAAGCAAGAGGAGCATGACATCCGCATCTATTGCCCAGTGATGGACACCTTGGGTGACTTGGGAGACATCGCGGCACCATACACAGCGCTGCTTCGAGCGCGCCTTGAGGCACAGATTCAAAAGCATCGCTACTAGTAAGTAGCCAGGTGCCTTACTACTAGTAGCAAGAAGCTACTAGTAGCAAGGTGCATCGCTACTAGTAGCTAAGTGCCTTCCTCTTATCGACTGCAGATTCATTTTCTCCAGGTGCCAGATTGGAAGGTGAGAGTCAGCGCAGCGCGAGCACTGGGCAAACTAGGTGAAGCAGCTCTTGCTTCCGTACCGCACCTGCAGGACTTAGAGAACGAATCTTTCTTACATAGGAAGGAACAAAGACATGAAGAAAAAAGATATGTCATAAAGACTTGTGCTACATGGAGAGTGAGGGTTGTGCGGTTCAATACCAGAGTTTGCCGAGGCACAGCTGTTGGTGCTGCGGCTCGAAGAAGATCCCCACTTGGAGGTGAAGCTATGCGCAGTTCAGGCCCAGATCAAAGTCAAGAAATTGAACAGAAGTACAGCTTCCTGTTACTTGAAGTAATGGCCTCCAACCCAATAGCGATGGCCTCCAACCGAATAGCTTCTTGTTACTTAGTAGCTTCAATTCAGGGAATTCAGGCCTTTCAGATTGCAACAGGGAAAGTGAGACGCAGGTTTTTGCAGAAACATAGCATATATAATATATATATATATACATACTACGCGTGTCACTCAGGCATTAGGGGAACTTGGTGGTGCCAGCTTGCAGCCTGGCTTCACAAGTTTGCATTGAACTGGTGGACAGGCCTCAAAGACATGAGTTCAATGTGTTTGTAAAGACGGGAGGCTTAAGGCAACTACTGTAGTCGCTAGGCTAACTGCGCCTCAGCAAGCAACAAAGGTCAGCAACAAGAAGCGAGGTGGCAAGCAAAGTAACATCTCTGGATGAAAGGCAAAAGGTTACATCCCTTGAAATATTCTGAAATGTAGATGCCACCCTGGCAAGGAAAGGTACGTTCTCATTTAGAGATTGTCTGACACCAAACCTCAGAAAGTACCTACTTTGCATATTCCTGCTGGATTCTACTCGTGATTTGCCATATTGATTGTTGCATCTGTTGGGAGAGATTTTGGAGTGTTTGACAGCACGCAGGGCAGACTCTAGGATGTTGATATATACACAATTTATGCCCAGTTCCCAGGTTTCAACATCCGATTGTCCATCAATCTGTCATGAACAGGAAAGATGGAGCAAAAGGAATTCCAACTGCCCCAAATGTGAATACCCCCTCGAATACGATCTACAAAAGAGTTATATACTATTGACATCTATTTACAGCAAGCCCGGACTTCAGTGACTTCAGGGTGTAGTTACAGGATAGTGCCAGAGAATGTCTAGATTCCACCACATGCCCGGAATAATTTCTGAGCCCTGAAGTGTTTTGTTGGTGGCTCTCGCCAGTGAACTCTTTCCGGTTTGTTTTCCTACAGTTGGTCTCGAATCGGATTGAGGCATGCAGCGTCACAGATCGCCAGCATGTAGCTGATCTAAATTAGACCAAGACCAGTCTTTTTTTGTGCTTCCAATATACCGTTTAAATCAGACACGTTGTCGCAATGAAGGCATGCCAATTGCCTCGCTTCCCATATGATCATGGACGAGGTGGCTCACCCTTGGAGGGGCTACAGACTTGCATTTTCTCAATTGGAACATCCTTTGCTTACTTCGCTTTGTCAAGACTGCCAAAATACGCGTACTTGTAGACAGAAGCAGCACTGGCTGCACTGCTTGTGCGAACAGCTGACACAGGCGCCGAAACTGCGCCGAGCCTGCGCACGAACTCTGGGATGCCTTGGCACGTCCCTTGGCAAAATCTCAGCCTCGTGTTTGACCTTTTTCAATTAGAAAGACAGGTCTAAGGTCAAAGAGAAGAGAAGGAACAATCTAAACTCTAAACGCCTATTTGAAGGAAAAAGGAGAAACATAGATTTTGACGCTTCAGCTCTTGGCTCCCAGATTGACTTTTTCTACGTCTTCCTTTAATATCAATACGGTTCAGTATGTATCAATGCTCAGTCTCCAAGTCCAAAGTTTCAAGGTATGCATCTACCTGTCTTCATGAGTTGGTGCTAGCGCTGGCAGACTCTGACTTGGAGGTTCCGAGCTGAGTAGCCTGCTGCTGTTTTGTGAGCTGACTTGGGTCTGGAAATTGCTCACCTTCTAGCTGCAGGCTGATTTGTATCTACATACCTGACAGGTCCTGATAGTTTTGTCAGGCCGATAACTCTGATGACGAGCCTTTTGACATTCCGCTGATTTTTGCAGTGCGGGATTGGATCCAGATTGCCTTAAGCTTCTGATATCGAAAAGAGACAGACAGACTGCCACGGCTAAGGTGCGAAGACAAGCTGTGAGTGCCTTGACTGGTCTTGGAGAAAGTGCTGCACCAGAAGTCGTGGTGGGAAACTTATGCCTCAGTCGATTCGGCACAGTTTTGCACACCTGTTCAGTGGCCATGTATTGTCCACGATAGTTGGACCAGGCCATCATCCGGAGTGCGGAAGATATCGTTGTGACCGACTGTTGACGCTCCTCATCAACAATTAGACAATCCACCGTTTTAGTCCAGACACTTGCCGCAACCAAAGCAACTAAGGCACAAGCTTAGCAGCCAAAGCGAACAGGTAGCCCCAAGGGCGAATGTTACCATGAAAGGTTCTTTTGATGGCAATAGTTCTCTTCTATAAAAGCGGCAACATCGACAATTTCTTACTGATTCCATCTGCTTTCTGGTTCCTTTTTTGGATTGAATGGCTGCTCCGGGGTTGAGAGATTCGTTGGCGAAACTGCCGATGTTTGGCGATTCTTCCGCAAAAGCGGATGCCTTGAATCGACGCAAAGCGGATGCCGTGTCCATGCCTGGCCAAAGGTGCAAGGCGTGGAGGCTGACGGCCAAAGATAGAAAGGAACAAGGAACAAGACATTTTGCACATCACGCATTTTGTGTTTCAACATTTTTTGCACAACGTGTTTCAATCTTTTCGGTGTTCGGATGTCAAAGCACAGATTCATGAGGTAGCTCAGCCGCAGCTGCAGCTATTTTGTTCCTTAAATTTTGAGAAAAGCGTCACCATAAAATCAGCAACCACGGCGCTCTCTCAGCTTGCTGAGTGTTTCAGTGTGAGATTCTCAGACAGTCCTGTGATTTCTGCCATGCTCGCCTGCCTTGGGCCAAGCTTGGGAAGGCTTTTCAGTGCTGACGGCTTGCACCAAGGCGATGGGGAGCAAGCTGTCAGCATGCCCCATCATGGAGCACATGTATGACAGTGAAGACTTTGATTCCAACTACGAGGCACACTGAGACTTTTCATTGATGGAACATCAACCATGAGTCACCATGAGTCCTTGGAAAACCACCTTGTTCGATGTTTTTTCCCTAAAGGTGGATGAGAGCTACACGATTGGGACTGGCAAATTTGCGGTGGTTCACATGTGCCACCGACGCAGCCAACCTGAGCGGAAATACGCTCTGAAGGCGAGCGGGCAGCACTGGTGGTAAGTGCTCTGATCGAAGCGGATTTTTTGTAGTGAGACGAGCAATGAGCAATTGTACTTTCAACTTCCGATGGATGCTCTGCATTTTCTGGTTCACATGATTCACCTATATACACATGGACAACGAATTTACCATACTCACAAGTGAGAGAAGGTCCAAGATTGCAGTACAGTAGCAATGACTTGTAGCGAGTTGGTGCAGGGATGCGCAGGGCACTTTCTGGATCTGCAAAACCAGGAAACTTATACTGCGTATACCCAAACATGAGCACCGCTCAAGTTCTCATGTTCTGGGTCCTGTTTAGCCTGGCCTCATGTTTGATCGTGCGCTAGAGGTCATCAACACACGCGTTGGCGATATGGCAAGCTGCTTCCTTACTCTGCAGGTACAACAAGATATGTACCCACATGACCTTTGGTTTGCCAAGGCTTAAATCGCATCCATGAGGAAATTGACATCCTGCAAGTTCTTGGCACTCACCCAGGCAACTGCCCATGGCCAGAAGCGGTGCAATAGGAAAAGCATGTGGCAAGACACTTTACAATTGAGAACCCACCTGTGAAGTGCTCTTTGAGGCCTCGTGTCAATCATTGATGTGGACGAGAATATGCCAGGGGCCATTCGCACTTCGGCTGCACAGCCCACCAGCTCTAGGTGGAACTGCAATTTGAACTGTGGCAGTGATGTTCTTGCACTTTCTGGGATTCGGCGAAGGCTCTTTGCACCAAGGACTTGTGCTGGAGCTGTGCGAAGGTGCCATTGTTCAGACACGCACCATCCAACAAGAAACGGTACACATTGCATCCTTCGCACCATGGGCGTGTGAGGACACAGATCATATATAATCATATGAATCATATGTATATTTATATACACATACACACACAAAAATTGGCTTGAAGGTGGCGAACTCTACGATCGAATTCAGCAGAAGGGGTACTACCCTGAACAGGAGGTCTCAAGCTTTCGAATTTGCCTTAAAGAGCAGACATGAACAGAAAATCAATCAGATGGTAATTGTCTATGCAGGCCAAAGCAGCTGTGCGGTGCCTCTTGGAAGCTGTGGCATACATCCACAGCCATGGCATCATGCACAGGCAGAAACGAAGAATGAAGAACCATGGAGAACCATTTCTGATTTGAAGCTGCCAGGGATTTGAAGCCTGAGAACATATTGTTGGTCAAGGGCCTCGGAGCTGGATGTTCGGTTTCTGATTGAACACGAAACAAGCACGTAAGAACACACAAAGTTTTGTTTTTTATCAAAGGAAGTTTAGTGTACGAAACTTCCGTATTACGGACATTCAAGAACTGTTCATCCACTCATCAATACACCACTCATCATACACCACTCATCAATACACCACTCATCAATACACCACTCATCAATACACCACTCATCATACACCACTCATCATACACCACTCATCATACACCACTCATCATACA